CTTTAACCTATTTCTGATGAGAGTAAAGTTCCAGCACTACCTGCCCTTCCCCCATTAACTTATTATCTATCAATTTTAACTTTTTGCCCCATTTGTATGAGATGATTGCTCCTTTTTATCTCTCCCTACAGTTTTATTATTTTTCGAATCACCCCATCATACTCAACTTAGCCCAAGCCTTTCTTTCAAACTACCCAAATAAAAATGACAGTGATAATATAACCTTACGGAATCCCTTATAATTGGTCCTTAATGTTTATTTCCCCTGAACATTGTATGTTGAATTTTTCCTTAAGTTCCACTGTTTTTTTCACAAATACCTAAAAGTCATTCAGTGATTAAATATCCATTTTTTTCATTGAGGATTCCATTCAGTTTTGCTGGGTAAGGTACCCTTGGTCATACCCCAGCTCTTTCGCTCTATGAAATAGTCAAGACCTCCAGTCCTTCAACATAATAACTGCTTGGCTTTGTGTAATTCTTGTGTAGCTCCACAATATTTAAATTATTTTTTTTCTTATTTCTTCCAATATTTTCTCCTTAACTTGGGAACTTTGAAACTTGGCTATGATATTCCTGTAAGTTTTCCTCCTAGGATCTCTTTCAGGTGGTGATCATTGGATTTTATTTTATTTTTGTTTTCTCTTCTTGTTCTGGAACTTCAGGGAAATTTTTCTTGATAATTTCTTGTAATATCATATCAAGATACTTTTTTATCATAGCTTTCAGGCAATCTATTATATTATTTCTCCTCCATCTGTTCTTCAGATCAGTTGTTTTTCTGATGAGATGTTTCATATTCTCTTCTATTTTGTTCATTATTTAGATTTTGTTTTATTATTTCTTTGTGTCTTAGAATATTATTAGCTTCCCTTTGCTCAATTATAGTTTTCGGGGAATTATTTTCTTAAATTTTTGGTTCTCTATTTGAAGATGGTTGACTTTCTTTTCATAATTTTCTCAATTTTCTTGGATTGCTTTTATTTTTTCCTATTTTTTCCCTCAATCTCTCTAATTTAATTTTTAAAATCCTTTTAAAGTTCTTCTAAGAACTCTTTTTGTGTTTGTGACTATTTGACATTTCTCACTGAAAAAGGATTTTTTTTTTTTAATTTCCATTATCTTCCCGTGATTAGGAACCTTCCTTATCCCCATAGTAGTTCTGTGGTTGGCTTCTTTCTCCTTTGATTGCTCATATTTTTTTATTTATTTTTGTGTATATTAGTGTGATCAAGTTATAGTCCTGAGGTATGGGGAATAATGCCCCAAGCCTTAGGTCCTTCTTAATGTTATTTTCTGAGGACCATGTCGGTGCTCAACTTTGGGCTCTCCTCTCTACTCCTAAGCCACAGCTGAAGTCCCTATTCACGCTGTCTGCCAGATGATCTTATTCTCTGCAGTCTGTTCTCTCTTCCCCGGAACTGAAACCAGAGAGTCCACTCTTCTGCAAGTGCCTACGGCCAGCAGGGTCCCTGCGCCTCTGCTACTGCACTCACCAGGTGTATGTTAACTTCTCCCTGTGGTGGCAGCCCAGCCTGGGATACATCTGCTCAGCACAGCTGTGCTTGGCATCCCTCAACAGTAGAAAGACATTCAGTCTTGCCAGCTGTCGGACCACCACACTGTGCATGAGATAAAAGTTTTCTCCCAACCCCAGCTGCCCCCAGGCCTTGTTATTTGTTGATTCTGCAGAGTTGGCCTGGAAGTGTTTGCACTTCATTCAGGCTGAACCTCTGTCCCTGGAGGTCAGGTGTTTCCTGGTCTTATGAGAACAACTGCTTTGCCTTGACTTTTTTTTATTTCTGCTGTTCTACATTAACTCTGAGGCGATGTTCTGTCTTTTTCGGTAGAGGAAATTTGGAGAGCTGAAAGTTTTCTGACCTACTCTGCCATTTTCCCAGAATGTTCTGTCTTCGTTATCTTTTAACAAGGTTTTTAAAACATATTTACATCATTCTTTTAATAATTCAATTTATAGGAGTAGCTAGGTGGTGCACTGGATAGAGCACCGGCCCTGAAGTCAGGAGGACCTGAGTTCAAATCCAGCCTCAGACCAAACACTTGACACTAGTTGTGTGACCCTGGACGAGTCACTTAACCCCAATTGCCTAAAAATAAATAAATAAATAAATGGAATAAGACAATTCAATCTATAACCAAGAGAATCAAAGAAGAGGTCACTTTTCTAATCAATATTTCTAATGCAATAAATTATCACATTTGTATTAGGCACTATTTTCATACGGCTAACAAATTGTGAACTGAAGTAACTTGGTTTAAGACCACACAGCTAACAAGTTTCTTGATCCATATATTTTCCCCATACTTTGATTTAATGCCAAATAGTAAAATAAAATTATAATTGTCTCATGTAAAATGAAACCAGAATTAGTTTAACCACACCTGGACCTAAATTCCCAAATGGTGTCATCACAGGGATATTTCCTAATGGGGGCACCCTTAAGACCATGTTCTGATATAGATTTGGGACATATTTTGATCCAATTAATCCTGGATTTTATAACTACTTATGGAACCATGTAAAATCTCAAAAATTTCTCTTACAGCTTCAAGATTGGTAACTCATTATTATCACTAACTCATTCTAAAGACTCATGTTGACACTCCCAGCTCCCTATAATTTTTCCCTGTTTACCTTTGAACTACTCAAAAGAGCCTCACCAAATTCTTGTCCCTACCTTCATACTTGTTAACCTCATGTTCCCATTCCCTGCTTTGGAGCCTAGAAATCGCCAGCTGAATATTATAAAGAATAACCACGTAAAGTTTCCCATAATCTATTTTTCTTCCTACAAAATTAGAAAACTTCCTCAAACCTTTCTCAATATGCCTGAAATTTCTTCCTTAATCTCTCCCTTTCCCTCTCTCTCTCTCTCTCCCCTGCCTCTCTCTGTCTCTCTCTTTCTCTCTCTCTGTCTCTCTCTCTCTGTCCCTCTCTGCCTCTCTGTCTCTTTCTCTCTCTCTGTATGCCCTTCCAGGTTCTTGAAAACCATATCTTCCTAGTTTCCTTCGTTCTTCTTCTAAACTTTCCTTCACTTGCTCAAATCCTTCATTCTTCACATTCCAACTGTCCCAGACCATATTTACTCCACTGTTTCTCTTTATAGTTTTTGTACATATTGTTGATAAATAAATCTGACATTACCAAAGCCTTATTTTCCCTATCTTTATAGTTAAAAATTATATTGTATTGCTAGAGTAGTTATAATTTAGATGTTCTCTAGGAGATCAAAGAGTGTCATTCCTATTCTTAATATATGAAGACGCTTGTGGGACAAGCCCCTCAAAATTCCATTAAGATGTCCTTAATAATTACAAAAACCTTTTGTCTATGACCTTTCAAGAAAGGAGGACTGCAATGACTGATACCCTTGTTGAGGCACAGGATAGGGTTTCTGAGTTCTCCCAGCCCCAGTTAACAGCTTACAAAAACCTGGACTGCTCAATTAACATTTGAGGTCTGTTATATTTTCTACTAAGATCAATTTAGTGCATTTTCCCATATTAAATCATAGTCTCTTCTCTTTTCTGTTTACTTGTTCTTTACTTTTCAGAATCTGGAGAGAGATAATATTCTATTCTAAATCAAGAGAATTGTATTTTTCAGTTCTTACCAGAATTTCTTATATAGTTTTACAGTAGTACTTAGGTTGCCTGCTACCTTGGTTTCTAAGATGACCTTATGGGTACCTACTTCTATTAATGTAGTTCCTAAGTACTTAGTGGTATGCTTCCCATTAACAATTAGGGGTATACTTAATTAGCTTCTAACAAAGTCATTTACTAATATAACATGGGAAGAACAGTTGATATAAACATTTCTGCCAAAATCTAAATTCAACAAATCCATACAATTTCTATGGAAAGAGTGGACTCAGATTTAAAGTAAGTCCACAGTGAGATAAATGTGTAGTGTTCACAATTTCTGGAACTCTGGGGCTTGGAAGTAGGATCATAGATTGAGACCTGGAAGGGATTATAGAGGGCATTGAGTTCACTACTCTCACTTTACAGATGTGGAAACTGAAAGGAGGTGGTTTAGATTATTTTCCTTAGGTCATCCAGCTAATTAGTGTTAGAGGAGGTATTTAGACCCAGGCCTTCCCGGCTCCATTGCCTTATCTATTACATCAATGGTGTGAAACTCAAGTGTAAGAACATTAATCCATACATAAAGATCCCTGCCAACCACATTTGTTTAAAAATGTTATCTATATTTTGATTTATTTTAAAACATATGCTAATTATATCTTATTTCCATAGCACTCCAGAATGTTGTAGGTCAAATGGTCCACAGGTTATGTGTTTGACACCTATACAGAGCTACTTGTCATTACTCTATTTTAGTATCTTCATGCTGCTAATGTTAAGAGCATCATTTGTCTTAGGCAAGCCTCTACCAGGGTTTACTCTATTCTTGAGCTCATAAATGGTAATCTTCTCTGCTACGAGGCTTTGTGTGTCTTGAACCATGGTGATATCCAGTTCTATCATTGGCTGTGTATCTCTTCTTCTAGTTAGATGCATTGTCTTTTGCTGATTCAGTAGCTCTCTCAATATCATGTTTTATAAAAAGGAATAGGGGGAGATGAAGGATAAAAAGTACACTTTTTTTCCACCTTGCTTCCCTTTGCTACAGGTAAATGAGTCTATCTCCACAAAACAAACCCAGGCCTGGATCCCTCAGTTCTTAAGAACTGCAAAAATTCATCCAGCTATTTAAAGTCCCCCAGAATCGTGATTAGCTTGCTTGCTCAACCAATCACACAGCTCCCTTCTTTAACTAATCTATGAGGTTGCCATCTCATATAAGGATCAAAAAGTACAGATCATATATTGTTTATACATTAACACTTCATTGTGTGACTATATTGTTAGCTGGTTGAACCCCCCCCCATAAAATCTAATTTATTCTTTGTGATAATATTATTATCTCTGGGATATATGGAACTTTTGTTTCTGACTTTGGTCTCTTCAAGGTATATGTCTAATGGTGGAAGTTCTGGATCAAAGGATATGAACAGTTGAGTCACTTTGCTCAAATAATTCCAAATTACAGCATGACTGGACCAATTCACAGTTCCACTGACAGCGACAGCTAACAATTTGCAGTATGGCTAACATCAATAGTGAGTAAACTTTTTTGTAATAGGAAAGAAGGAAACAGGAATTAACTAGTAATCTAATATTTGCAGACATAGTTTTAAACATTTTACAAAGTATTATCTCATTTGATCCTCAGAACAACCCTGAAAGATAGTTTCTATTATTACTCCCATTTTATAGTTGAGGAAACCAACACAGACCAATGTTAAGTAACTTGCCCGAGGGTCAGGCAGCTACTAAGTCCCAGAGGACAGATTCAGACTCAGATCTTTCTGAATTCAGGCTTAACACTCTATCCACAGCACCAATTCACTACTTCTAATACCTAGATGAGAACCAATAGGGAGTCTTCCTTGAGTTAATTACTTCCTTAACTAAATACCTTTAAAAGGAGTTTTTCATATATTTAACTATTTTATATATCGTAAAAAATATCGACTTCCACATTCAAGTATAAAAGAACAGTTCAGATCCTTTTTTCAGCCTATAGACATAACATATTTTTTGTCTAGCCTTTGTGGTGAGATGGAAATGTCACTGAATTTGGAATCAGAAGACTTTGGTTTGAATCACTACTTTGCATGAAATCTATTTTCTCATTTGCAAACCAAGGGTCTTCACTATGTTTATGACATGTCATAAAGTTATACATGCACATTGTCATAATGTCAGGTTAAAGCATTCTGTTAAGTTAATCAAAGCTATCAGCTGTTTTTTTTTTTTTTATCATGGTACACCATAGGTGGTACAGTGAAAAAAGAGCTGGTAATGGAATCAGAAAGACCTGTGTTTAAATTAACCCTCAGACACTTATACAATTCACTTAACCTATGCTTCAAATATAGAGAGTAAAAAAAAAGTGGCCTAGTGGATAGAATGCTGGGCCTAGAATCAGGAAGACCTGAGTTCAAATCCAGTCTCAGATACTTCCTAGCTGTGAGATTCTGGGCAAACCACTTAACTTCTGTTTGCCTTAAACCCCTGAAGAAGAAAATGGCCAACCATTCCAGTATCATTGCCAAGAAAACCCCATGGATGGTATTGGTGTGCTATGGTCCATGGGGTCACAAAGAGTGCAAAATGACTGATCTACTAAATAACAACGCCATTTTGAAAGCTACAAAATTATGCCTTGTTTATATTCGATATTTTTATCTCAGTTATCATATTAGACTTGTTTGTTTTGACAGATGTTTACAAAAATAGGTGTTTAACAACAAACTATTCATAGTCATTATAGTATGTAAATTTCTCTGACAGAGAAAACAGCTTTGGAGAGGTGAATCTTAGAACAGAGGAATCCTATAATAGTACAGTGATGCAGTTATGCAGAGTTCCAAATCATATCCCTGAAATGTAATTTCTTAAATATAAAAACCTGATGTAATAGTTTGTATATCAGGTGTTAATCATGACACTGATTGCCTGTGTTATGAAGGGATTTCACTTAATTAAATTTTCCAAAATAGTTTTAAAGGACCGCTAATTAGGGCCTGGTGGTTTTTGATTTTAACTCTCCACAAAGAAAACATATATTGATTTGGAACATAAATAACTGTGATAACAAGATTATCCTTAAGTTATTTAGAATCATGTCACTGATAATTAAGAACTTCAAAATGTTACATTATCAAATGATTTAGTCATTAGTGAAAGCCAGTCCACAAAAAAGCAGATAAAATCTGTGTATATGGCCATGTACATAAATACACACATCCATTCTCCTAGGATAGCAATAACGATCTTTGTTTTCCTTCAAAATCTAAAAAGTAGCAGTATAAGAATAGCCTTTTCCAAACACACATTTTAGAAGGAGATATGTCTATATCAATAATGGATGTGCCTATTTCAAGAAACCTGTGAATGTGGATCACATTTTTTCCCACCTTAATAGACATTTTTTCATGAGCAGATGTGGTTACAATAAATAAATGCTTCTTAGTCACTGATGTATTGGCAGCAAGACTTCCCAAAGTTAGCTAGGCTGATTCTTAAAAGCAAACAAAGAACCAAACAAAAAACAAACAGATACACAGTCCACCATTTAGTCACAGTATGTTCTATCAAGGCCACTCAAAAGAGGAGAGAAATATCCTAGAATAGGCATAGAAGAAATATTGAGAATTAGAAAAGAAAAAAAGGAAAAAATTGAAAAAAGACAATATAATTCTTAAATAAAATGTGTGTCCATTTAAAAAAAAACTAACAAAACTGATAATGAACTTGATTTCAAAAGAGGAGAGATAAGTTACTGAAATAAAGAAAATGAATAGGAATGTATAAGGAATGGAGGAAATAAAAAGAATTATCAGAAATGCCATTAGTCAAATTTCATGCCAACAAAACTGAGATTAAAATAAACTAGATATTATCTAGTTTGTAGATATTATCTACAAACATTTATTAACAAATTACCAAAACAAAAGTAGTATAATCTTAAAAGCATAATAAGTCACTCCAGTCTCAGAAAAAGAAGTCAAGCATGTTCCAAATTAACCAGCAAAGAAGATCAGCATGGATAATAATAGAGTTTTACTGTAGTGACATCTGAACTCTTCTTTGAGACCTGTTTGCATTCAACTAATGGCATGTTTGAAAAAGAAACTGCTTGGTTAATTAAATGTTTGCAAGTAGTTTAGGAAGCATTGTATTACTGTTTGACGTCCCTCTAGTTTATGGTGGAATGAAATTATGTGCCAATAGAATAAATAATGTATACTATAGAGGTTAGTTCATTTTCCTGCTAATTTCTGCTCATTTAAGCAGAATTTATACATTTGAAAAAAAAGCCTGTTTTAATACTGTGCTGTTAATGGGAACAATTGAATATTTGATTCCTTGATATCCATTGAGCATTAAAAAAAATCTACAAAGGAGAATTCTTATGTGAAAACAGATTGGGTGGTTCACAGAAACTTTTTGTATTATCTTTTTTTCATTCAGTTTATTTGGTTGAGACATTTTAGCAAGATGATTGAATATAAAATTGCATGTAAATCTGACTTTTTTCATTATCCCACAATAGCAAGAAAACACCAAAATCAAAACAAAACACTCACAAAAAAAAACAGAAGGAAGTCAGAAAAAAATTCATCAGAAGAAATTTCACTGAAAAAGTAAACAACCAAAATGAGATTTTAATACAATGTTTCAAACTAACAAGCAAAAGAAAATTATCTGAAAACCTCAGATGAGAGGGAAAGTCATCCAAATACAATGATATCCCCAAATGACAACTGAATAACTTCAAGAATACGAAGAATGATTCAGAAATCAAGAGAGAGTTAAAACAAAAACAAGAATGGAATTAGTGCAAAAAGAAAGCTCAAAAATGAGAAATAAAAGGAGAAAATCGATACTCGAAAATTAATGAAGAATACCATTTCAAGACAATGTATTCTCTGGAAAAAAAAAAAAGAAAAACATTTGGAATTCAAAAATGCGCAGATATAAGATAGGCAGATAGAGTTTTCAGTCAGAACATCAGAAGGTAGTGATATATTATTTCTGAGGGTATTAAAGATGAGATTGTTTTTGAGAATTTAGGTGCTAAGTTTCTGTGATTTCATTTTTCTTGTATGTTCTATACCTAGCACTGTATGAGAATAGTAAGTGGTGAGGCAATTATTAAATGCTAGAAAAAAAAGTAGTTTAAATAATTTCTGATATCAGTGCTAAAATTTAAATCTAAATTCCTTTTTTTTAAGGCAATCAACTAACTGCTTGCCCCGGGTCACACAGCTAGGAAGTGTTTGAGGCCACATTTGAACTCAGGTCCTCTGCTCTATCTACTGCATGATCTGGCTGCCCCATAATCTGAATTCTTGTTACTAAGTTGTTTAAATTCTTAAGTTATATTATACAGTATTTAATAAAATTAAAAACCTTGAGAGCCTACTGCAGAGTGCTTCTGAAATTGACTATTAGATCATAAAATTTTAGAGATTATAGGGATTACAAAAATTATAGTATGATAATACATCTTGAAGGGACTATAAAAATCACCTGGTCCACACTTCTCATTTTACAGATAAGGATATGACTTTGGAAAGGTAAGAAATTTGATCAAGGGGCAGCTAGGTGATACAGTGGATAGAGCACTGGCCCTGGATTCAGGAGGACCTGAGTTCAAATTCAGCTCAGCCACGTAACACTTACTAGCTGTGTGACCCTAGGCAAGTCAACCCCATTGCCTACCCCCCAGAAAAAAGAAAAAAGAAATTTGATCGAGGTAATACAGGAACCATGATAAGTATCAGAGCAGGGGTTTGAACCTAGGTCCCTGACTCTAAAGTCAATCCTCTTTCCATTATACCATGCTACCAAACAGAAGCCAGATATAATCCTGAATCCTGATTCCCAAATTGTATACTTTTCAAGGCTTCCTCACCACTAACAGAAAACACTTGAAAAATTATGATTCAGAAAAAAATGGGTGGTATTTTTGTAGTAAGTTAAAATTGGAAGTGATCAAGTGAATCAAGCAAAATCTCATCTATCTTGCAATGTGACTCAATATCATAATAAAACAATTCTGTTTTAGAACTCTAAGCTTTGAACACTAGGGAAAAAAAATACAGATTTTGTAACCAAAATATGATGTTTGCCTTTACTAAGGAATGTCTTCAAGAACAAGCATCTTTAAAAGAATCAATTTTTTTTTGTAAAATAATTTTTTTTGTGTTAGATAATTTTGTTACATTCTTTTTAGATTAACTACATATTAAAACTTACTTGTTTATGGTCTGATTTTAAGCAGTTTTGTTGATTTTTAAAGTAATATGGAAGAATATACCATGATTCATTTTCATATTTAGAAACTATTTTTTGAGTCACAATCAATTAGTTTACTTTTGATGCTAGATCATTGCTAGACATGGTGAGATGAGGAATTCAAAAGTAATGGTTCAAGAAACTATGGAGTTTGAATGCAGATCAAAGCATACGATTTGCGGTGTTTTTTCTTCTGTTGTGTTTTGTTTCCTTTTTCTGGTGCTTCCTCCTGTTGGTTCTAATTTTGACTTACAGCCATAACAATGTGAAAATGTGTTTAAAAAGAATGTCTATGTATAGTCTATTTCAGATTGTGTGTCATCTTGGGGATTAAAGTGGAGAGGGAGGGGGGAAAATTAAAACTCAAAAGCTTATGGAAGTGATTGTTGATAAATCAAAATAAATTAATTAAAAAATACAATAAAATAAACAATAAAAAAGTAATGTTAAACAGAGTTCCTCTCTAGAAGAGCTTACTACAGTTTAGTTGGTTGAGAGAACTGTATATAAGAAACAGGGCATAAAGCAATGTTACTGTAAAAAAAACTGAATCAGGGCCTAGAAAATTACTGGAGAATGAACACTGAAAAATGTAGATATTGAACCAAATTGCTTTAAAAACTGTGATTATTGAATAGTCAACTGTTTTTTTCAGATTTGAGTTACTCATTTACTGGCTCACTTAATTGATACAACCAATCTAGTACTAGACCATAGTGTTGTTTTTGTGAATGAAAGATGAAAATTTTTCAGAAAAAAAGTAATGCATAAGAATCATTTGATAAAAAATATTAAGCACCTACTATGTGCTAGGCACATGCTAGTTGTTTGAACAAGCACAAACAGTAGAACAATCTCTAACCTCAAGCAATTTACATTTTTATCAAGGAAGAGTATGTAAATACATAAATATATACAGAATAAATATATAAAATAAAGACATGATAGTTAGGGAGGTAGGACACTAGATTGGCTGGGATCAGAAAAAAGCTCTCTGTAGGAGAGGGTGCTTGAGCTGCATCTTAAAAACAAGGATTTTAAAAGACAGAGATGAGAGGGGAGTGAATTTCAGGAATGGGGATGTTCAAAGGCACAGAAATAGTGGGCATGGGAGATGGGCAAAAACACTATTCTAGTGCAAAAATATAGAGATGGGAGTTGGGGTGGTATGTGTCAGAAAATAAAAAAGACTAATTGGACCATAGATTGTGAGAAGAGGAGTAATATATAAGGAAGCTGGCAAGATAAGTTGGGGGCAGGTTGTAAAGGACTTTTTAGGTGAGAGGCATTTATATTTTATCCTAGAGACAATAGTGGGCTACTAAAGTTTATTGAGTAACATGGTAAAAAATGTGTTGTTGAATCATTTCAGTTGTGTCCAACTCTATGACCCCATTTGGGGTTTTCTTGGTGAAGATACTGGAGTGGTTTGCCATTTCCTTCTCCAGCTCATTTTACAGATGAGGAAACTGAGGAAAACTGGATTAGGTGACTTTCTCAGGGTCACACTGCTAGGAAGTGTCTGAGGCTGGATTTTAACTTGGGTCTTCCTGACTCCAGACCTGACACTCTATCTATTACGCCACTTGTCAAAAATGTGCTTAAGAAAAAACACTTTTGCCTGCTGTGCAGAGAATGGATTGAAGTAGGAAGTAACTTGGAGAGATGAATTAGTAGACTATAGCAAAAGTCCAAGTGAGAGAGAATGGAGGCTTTGCCTCAGGTCATATCTTTGTAACTAGGGAGAGGGAGCAAAATGTGAAGGATGTTGTAGAGGTAGAAACAGAAAGATTTGGCAACTGATGGGGTGAGGGAGAAAAGAGAAAGGAAGGAAAAAGGAAAGGAAAGAAAAAAGGAACATAAGAAGGAAGGATGAAGGAAGGAAGGAAGAAAGATACATATAACATTAGTCTTCTACAGTAGAAGAATGGAAGATAAGTAGGGAGAGGGCCCTAAGAATCACATTCTTTAGATGATATATAAATATAAACTCAGTGGGTGAAATCTTTGTCCAGGGACAAATAAGTGGACATACCACCAGAAGAAAGAACTGAATCTTAATATTCTCTCTATAATTAAGACCAGTGGATGGCTTTTCTTGATGACTAGTAAAAGAAGATAACTTCATCTTTATGTCACATGAAAAGAGTGAGGAATAAAAGGTAGATACCCCATGTTCTCTATAGGTAATCCTCAGGATGTCAAGAAAGTTCAAGAAAGGCATCCAAGTAGTTGGTTGGACACCCGTGCTGAGCTAATGAGAGGAAATGGACAAGAGTAACCCAGGAGAGGCAAGCCTGGGTGTATTGTGATTTATATCATTGGGAGAATTATCTATACTAACTAGATTTTGGTTTTGTTGTTGTTAATTTATCCACAGCACTAAGCACATAGGGGCAGCTAGGGGATACAGTGGATAAAGGGCCTGGAGTCAGCAAGACTCATCTTCCAAAGTTCAAATCTGGCCTTGGACACTTACTAGCTGTATGACCCTGAGCAAGTCAGTTAACCATATTTGCCTCAGTTTCCTCATCTGTAAAGTGAGCTGGAGAAGGAAATGACAATCAACTCCAGCATCTTTGCCAAGAAAACCCAAAATGAGCTCATGAACAGTTTGACATGACTTGAAATGATGGAACAACACCACCAAGCACATAAGTACTTAATAGAGATTTGTTTAATTGAAATTAAATTGAATTGAAAATACAGGTTCACTTGAATATATGAACGTTTGATTATTTTGAGTATTAAATGGAAGGCAAGGCAGAGAATGGAAATGGGGATGGATTAGGAAAGAGGTGATGAAGGAGATCCAGTAGATAAGAAAAAGAAATGGGAAAGATCAAAAGGGCAGACATCTGGAGGAAATAGGATAGGATCAAGAATACATGTGGAGAGATTGACTTAGAAAAATAGAAGAGAGTCATAAATTTAGAGGTAAAGGGGACCTTAATGGTCATTGTCCAACTTCCTCATTCTAAAAATGAGAGGTTAAGTCACTTACCCAAAGTCATAGTGCTAGTATTTGTCTAGGTGAGACTTAAATCCAGATCTTCCTTCGTAACATCAGCCTACCCACTACCTGATGTTGTCTCAAAATCTTTTTAGTGCATAAGTTAACTTCCCAGGAATTACTCACCAATTTGAAAATATGTCATGAGCTATTTAAGTGAAGGGAATTCCCACATAGACCTTTCCCACACTTACAAAACCCAATTCTTAAGTGTGCTCATATAATATATTATAGCGTAACCATTTTGAAATGACAGTTACCAAGCTATG